AGTGTGTGTCTCAGTGTGTGTGTGAGTGTGTGTGTGTCTCAGTGTGTGTGTCTCAGTGTGTCTCAGTGTGTGTGTCTCAGTGTGTGTCTCAGTGTGTCTCAGTGTGTGTGTCTCAGTGTGTGTCTCAGTGTGTCTCAGTGTGTGTGTCTCGGTGTGTTTTCAGTGTGTGTCTCAGTGTGTCTCAGTGTGTGTGTCTCGGTGTGTGTTTCTCAGTGTGTGTCTCGGTGTGTGTGTCTCAGTGTGTGTGTCTCAGTGTGTCTCAGTGTGTGTCTCAGTGTGTCTCAGTGTGTGTGTCTCGGTGTGTGTTTCTCAGTGTGTGTCTCAGTGTGTGTCTCAGTGTGTCTCAGTGTGTGTGTCTCAGTGTGTGTGTCTCGGTGTGTGTTTCTCAGTGTGTGTCTCGGTGTGTGTGTCTCAGTGTGTGTCTCAGTGTGTGTGTCTCGGTGTGTGTTTCTCAGTGTGTGTCTCAGTGTGTCTCAGTGTGTGTGTCTCAGTGTGTGTTTCTCAGTGTGTGTCTCGGTGTGTGTTTCTCAGTGTGTGTCTCAGTGTGTGTGTGTGTGTGTGTGTGTCTCAGTGTGTGTGTCTCAGTGTGTCTCAGTGTGTGTGTCTCAGTGTGTGTCTCAGTGTGTCTCAGTGTGTGTGTCTCGGTGTGTGTTTCTCAGTGTGTGTCTCAGTGTGTCTCAGTGTGTGTGTCTCGGTGTGTGTTTCTCAGTGTGTGTCTCGGTGTGTGTGTCTCAGTGTGTGTGTCTCAGTGTGTCTCAGTGTGTGTCTCAGTGTGTCTCAGTGTGTGTGTCTCGGTGTGTGTTTCTCAGTGTGTGTCTCAGTGTGTCTCAGTGTGTGTGTCTCGGTGTGTGTTTCTCAGTGTGTGTCTCAGTGTGTCTCAGTGTGTGTGTCTCGGTGTGTGTTTCTCAGTGTGTGTCTCAGTGTGTGTCTCAGTGTGTGTGTGTGAGTGTGTGTGTTGACGGCTGTCAACGGCTTGAATGTGACTGACAACATTTGCGCTGCTGCGTTCAGGTGCAGAACTCCGCTGCAGTGCGTTCCACACAGTTCAGAACAGAGACGTTCTCCGGTGCCCCGCCCTCCTGTCTCCTGCTGACCCGGACCGTTAACCTTCCCTCCGCAGTCCACTCTGGCAGCGCGGCTCTGTGACTTTCGGCTTTGTGCTTGTTCTGAACGAGCGTCCTTTTCTCTAAATCTCCTGTAGACCTGGACCCTGTTTCAGAAAGCAGGTTTAACAAACTCGGAGCTTCACCCTGAGCTCTGAGTTGACTCAGTCTGAGATGTGAAACTCCGAGTTTTCGGTTTCAGAAAAGCTGATCAGAATTAGTTCAATCAACTCAGAGTAGGCCTGTCGCTGATAGAAGCGCGTGCGTGGGGATGAAAAAAAGCTCCGATACTACGATTCACCATGGCAACGGATAAATACAGGCAGAGCCTCCATTTTAATCGGGTGGAGCTAGAAATATGAATGCGTGCCAACGCGGACCCTGATTTCTTGCTTTCTTTTTATTTATATCTTTTCATGTTAAAAGGCAGGAGTAGAGGAAGGATCACTACGTTAACAATATTAGGTAGGCTACATTTTATACAGCGTTGCTCATTGAATATTTACCACACTGGGATTTCCTTAATCAATGATAAAGTGCTGGAATTCTCCTATAGCCCATTAGCCTACACTCATTTTAAATATGCTGCAGGCTTATTTATTCAGCTGTAACCTGACGGAACAAAATGCCGGTGGCAATAGGCTAACTGAAGACGAAAATATTAGGTAGGCCTAATCCAACAGATTAGCCTGGACATAGTAGGCTATGGCCTACTCATGGACCTGGGATTGTAAAACCAGATTGTTTGCAGTGGAAAATGTCTCTATAGGTTCAAACTGACTGTAACGTTTTAGACGTCTAGGCTACATTTATAAGATCTTGCTCATTTCGTAGGCCTATTTTCAATGAAATGCTGTCAAAACACATTCAGACTATGCAGCTAATAGGCCTAATGATAAACTCACTTTTAAACTACAGTCATTCTCACTCAGAAATAGCCTATTCACATCGTATCCAGTTATAGGAATGTTCCAATCAGTGCGACTACAACTGCTCATTGATCAGTTTTGTGCAGATTAGTTTAAACAGTGATTACTGCAGCACTGTAGCGCATGTAAGTGTTTTTGTGCAAATGTTGCCAACCTGACAGCTGCCTTAATGTCCACAGAGTCAAAGGACCGTGACCTTATCTGACATATGGATATAGCCTAGATGTTTCTCAAGACGGAATTGCGTTTATATGTGCTTTGATATGGACAGTTTGAATGAGGAAATGTAGCTTCAGGCTACGCTGGCGGAGGAGTCAGAGAGAAACTCAGCGTTTGTTGAAGTTAACCTCCTCCTGTGGCCTGTGGCCTGCACTACGAAGGGAGTTCAACCTCCTAGGGGTTAACTCAGGGTTGACAAACTCTGACCGCTACACTGGAGTTAAACGGTACTACGAAGGTGGAGAAGATGTTGGTTAGTTGAGTCCCTGTTAACTTAATTGGAGTTGGTGCGCGTTCGCATGAAAGGAGTGTGTTCGGCCGTGCAGGCAGAGTTTTTTCGCAACGGCGCATGCTCTGTATTTCTCCAGAGGAATGCACGTTGGTAGTGTCGGGAAATTCTGAATGTAAAGACAAGTTAACGGCTAAATCTAATATCGTGGCGGCCGACAAAGCCAGGGAGGCTTGTTGGCATCGCATTGACTAAATTTGTAGCCTAATTATCTTCATAGTATTCTGCCTTCATGTATTTTATGGGCTCTTCTTTTATGTGTAATATGATTAAGATGTAAAGGTACAACTGCACAAAAGGTCCACTGTAATAGAATAAAAGGAGCCAGCGGAGAGGGGGAATAATCCGAGACAGAATTTAATTTCCAAAATTAATCTACAAGTAAGAAACTTGAATATTCTCTGACATTATAGTCACACATTTATGAAAGAAACTTCACTTTGCAAGGCTGCAACATCACACTCACGCACATGTCTGCCGTGTATTATGCATGCACTGGAAAGTTATATTAAACTTTGCAATCGGAGTTTAGCCCATAGTCACTATCCTGCAACTTAGAGACCTTTGCCTTAGATTCGGCCTATTCGGAAGAAAACAGAGTGATTTTCGATTTTTTTTTATGACATTAGGCTACATTTCCGATTTTTCTTCGTGTAAATTTCACACTTTCATCTAGTATTTTTTTTCTCTCGGTTATTAACCCTGACCCAGGCTCCCTATTTTTTGGACACATAGAGGCCTAAAATAGTCTATATCTGAATATGTGAAAACACAACCCGTTAATTAATTAATCACGTTCAACTGTCTGAACGTGACGCTGTTGTGTTCAGAACTTCAGCAGCCGCAGTGGAACAAATCAGGATGAAATCTAAACATTTTATGAAGTGGTGTGTATTAATATCCTACTTCTCATCATTAACACTGAGTACAGATGTGCTGTGTAGTCCACGTGCAGGGTAACTTCGCGTTAACCATGAACAAAACCTTCTCGGAGCAGTTTAGAGATGCAGCGTAAATTGCCATGGCAACACCTATCCACCTTTCGTAGTACGGGTTAACCGGGAAGTTCCACCCGACGTCACGAAGTTACTCCTGAAGTTACCTGGATGAGCTTCGTAGTACAGGCCACTGGTTCACAGCTAATTGCCATCTTTATAATAACAAACAACAGCAGTTTCGTGTGTAGGTTCGCGTCATTTCCCGTTTCACGTGTGTTTTCATGATAAAACGTGGTTTGGAGACCAGCGTCTGGTGACACAGTCCCTGTCACTGATCAGTCACGTAGTGTGAAAACGCCACAACGACTTCAAGACTCCCATCACAAGGCGGCAAGTTGTGTAGTGTGAACGGCACGGACATCGGCCGCCGCTGAAAGTTGTGTAGTCTGCACGAGCCTTAGTTGTAGGGGTTACTAATCTAGGATTTAGGCCATCTGATCTCGGTCTCTGAAACCGAAAACACAGAGTTTCCCTCATCTCGGGCTTAACATAGGCTTAAACCCGCTTTCTGAAACAGGGCCCTGGCGCAAAGAATGATGATACCCACCTGGGTATGGTGAACTGAAATTACCCCAAAATAGGAGGTAGCCTAAAGAGCAGTGAAGAAGCCACCCAGCAGCCACCAAACACCTGGCAGCGACATAAGTTACTGTTCTACATATGGCCTACAAGTCATAGCCTACAGCCGCTAATCTTACAAAGAACCTTGACCTAACCTTTTTGTTCTGCTCAAACAACATTAGCATTCAAATCCCCCACAGATGAAAATAGAGGTCTGCTGACAGGTGTCCATCACACAGGGAAACAGAGAAGTATCACGGCAAATCCGGCTTATAAGAGAAGAAGAAAACAGCAACAAACGAGCATCAACACCTACGCTGATGTTAAAATTGTTTGTTGTTAAAGTTTTCTTAACTTAAGATGGTAGGCCTACACAGAACACACGAAGTCAGAGGAATGCAATCACCTTATTACACACTTAGTTTATTCAACTATTTCTTTTAGTTTTTGCTTAATGATGCTGTTTGACCAACAACAGCGTATTGATTAATTACAAATATATATGCCTATTGACATTTAGGCTACCTCTCCTCCACTCTGTAGGGCGAGAGCCTGCAGGACTTAAAAATCAGGCAAAAACATAAAATAAAAAGTGTGCAACGTCTTTCAGCGTCGTCAAGGTAACGTGAGAAAGCGGCAAAGTGCTGTCCAGTTCCCGTTTACAGCATTTTGAGCCCTTGCAGCCTCTCAATCACTTTCCAAGTGACATCAGTAAAATCTGTGAGGGTTCAGGGCTTAGGGTTTAGGGGGGACACTGGGATTAGGCCGGCCACTGGATTTTATTTTCTCCCGTGTGGTGGGCGTGTCACAGGTGTTCAATCAGCTGCCACAAGTTTAAACTGTGTTTAAAAGGCAGGAAGATGAATGCGCTTGCTAGGCTGCACAACAGGGTGATGAAGGCACCACCTTCTTGAAAAAAAACCCCGTTTTGCTACGTTATGTCGGTGTTGAACTCGCCCCAGGTGTCTGGAGACCCGAGACTCCCTCAGCTGTTTACGTTTTGGCCCACACTTATGTTGATAGTAGCCTAACTTGTGCTGCATTCAGGCTCAATGGGAAAGATGCGAGGTGAAAAACAGCTTCCAGTGAACCACAAGCTATATGACAGTGGAACCTACAAGCTTAATGATAGGCCTACATTTCAAGTGGTGAGTTTGAGATTACAGCAACCTATAGCCTAGGCTCAGTTAAGTTTCTCCGACGTTTTCATGAGGTTGTAAATAAGGCCTGCTAATAATTCCCCCACTCCCACCCTTTGTCACTTGCCTTGTACGTGAAAACCTAACTTTACAATGAACCTGTTTGTGATTTTCATTGAAAAAGGAAATGCATAGTGTTGTGCATGTCTTTGTTTGCTATAGGTCTTACATCAGTTTAAACTGTTTGCTGACCAGTTATCACAACAACTTTAACAACAACAACAATTCTAAACATGTTCAGCTCCATTCAAGGCAACTCGACAAGTGTTTGTTCCTAGTGGGAATTGTTAGGTCTCTGTAAATAATCCTATTAGATCTAGACCTGCTCTATATAGACTAAATAAAACTGGATTAAAATTGTGTAAATTATATTTATTATCTATAAATGAGCCTATAGGATGTGCTGCATTGTGACATGTCATAGCCTACTGATATAAAGCTGGGCTGAACAGCAGCCTACTAAAGTTCAATCTGTGCCTTTATATGTTCAAATAATCAGAAATTTCTGCTATAGCTTGAATGCATCATACTCTGACTGACTGGATTGGATTCATTTGTTCCTCCAGGGAATTCCGGGAACACTCACATGACACCAACTCTCCAGCTCTATTGGTTCAAGGCACGTGTCTGAGAGATCCGTAGTACAACGTCATCGAAGCGTCTCCCAGCCAATCACAAATGAGAACCAAAATCCGTAGTGAAAGTATTTGAGCGGCGTCTTTATCAGGGCAGTTTAGTGCGGCTGGAAGCGTCAATAATTGTGTGCAGGGAGCCGGAAAAATTAAATAGACTGCATTTTTTTTCAACTCTTAATATTATTTTGAAATTTAAAAAATTGCGCACTAAGTGCAGCCATGAGGAGCGGGCTTTTACCTGAAACCGAAGCATGATTTTTCTTTGTCAGAATCCTGAGAGGCCTTTTCACAGTAAAACAATTTCAGTTATTCTGCCAAAAAAAACTACTCCGTTCGCTCACCGCCCTTTCGATTTTGTTGACTCATAATATAGTAGCCTAATTAATTGATTAGAAAGTGAACAGGAAAAACAAAATTGGAAATACTACTTTGTAGAAGGGCGCAGAGAGAGGTGCTGAGGGGGATCCGGCTCCATCATTATGGAAGAAAATGCTCGCCGAGACCCAGAGCGCCCAGACGAGTCCGGAGAGGAGTCCGACCGGGCCATGCTGCCTCTCCTCCAGCCGCCTGGCAACCAGCAGTCCCACAGGATCACCAACTTTTACATCGACAACATTTTAAGACCGGACTTCGGCCGAAAGAGGAAGGACGGGACTTTGGTCCGGGAAGGAGACAGTCTGGGGGTGATCAGACGGAGACAGGAGCTGACAGGGAGAAAGTCCTCCAAAACTGGCAACCCGCAGCAGGGTGGAGTAGGAGGCGCTGAGGATGAGGAGGAGGACACGGGAGCATCCGACGACCAGCATCCGGAAACTGGGGCCAGGAGGCCTGACCTGATAGCCGCTGAAGTGGCTGTGAAGGACCGCTGCCGCAGCCCACAGTCCAGCTCGGGCCCTGCGGCCAAGCCGATGCTGTGGCCGGCCTGGGTTTATTGTACCCGCTACTCAGACCGTCCGTCATCAGGTTGGTGGGAAAACACTGCTGGGACTCTTGTTATTAATTAAAAGATAAAAGAATTTTTTTTTTTAACGGAGGCTAGTTAGGAGGCTTCATGTCTGAGTCAAGTGAATGAAAGAGTTTAAAAGCTGTGGAGGCAAATTATTTACAAAAAATAGTCATTTTATTCTCCAAGCTGTGCGACCCCCAATCCCACTTAATAAAGGCTACTTATCACTTGTAACAATTGACAAACCAATTAGCCTATTGCACTTTATAACTAATATTATCTTCATTATTTCACACTTTCGGTATTTAAAACAATGACGGAACTATTCTTAGAGCAGACACTTATTTTACTTCAAATAAACTACTTTAAACGCAAATTAGAAACTAACTCGAGTTGTTTCAGGTGAAAATAATCTGGATTTTGTCTTTAAAATAAAGATCACTGGATAAAAGGACATGGTGTTGTCGTAACGTGTTATGAACATAAAGTTGAAATTAAATGCGAGTCGAGAGTGAAGTAAAAAATGTGGAGAAATTAAGTGAAACCAAGTTTAACGCCATTGTTCCCCAGCCTTCTTTGTTGATATTCTATTAGCATATTTTTTTTGACAATGGGGGGGGGGGGTCTAAAAAGTAAGGCCCGTGGGTCCCAAAAGAGAAGGATTCGATGTGAAATGCTGAACAATAAAATTTCACAAGTCTTTCTAACAGCCAGCGATATAGCCTATAATAAAAGTCATTTTGGACAACATTTCCCTGCCAGGCTGTGGGATGAGTGGGTCTAAATCTAATTTTGGATCCAGACCACCGTAAAGCTTTTTCTCCAGCAGCATGTGCCTCTACTCTGCATTCTGCTGCTTTATCTCAGCAGTGAAATAATATGATTCCATTTTTATCAGCGAAATGAAAAGTTTGTGCAGAGCTGGGATGATTATTTTCAGACGCGTGGTGCACTTGGACTTTTCCTTTGTCACATTTTAGAAACGCGTTCAGTTGTTAAATAGTGTCTCTTAAACAATCCAGCAGCCAGGCAGAGGGAAACATTTCGCTTGTATTGAAGAAGCGTTCGGAATGAAGCGAAGAGTCAAAAAAGTTGTTTTTATTGTCTTCTGGAAACATTAAAAAGTTTCCTCCGAGGCTCGAGCTTTTGGAAATGATCGCCGAGGTCTTGTAAGAGGTCAGCGAGGCGGCAGCTTGTCCCTGCAGGACAGCTGAACAAAACACAACTTCATAGAAATGCGTAAAATGCTACTTCCATGTGACGCCATACCTTTTTACAGTGTAAAGATAAATGTTGTCAAACCACACACTGCCTGTCAGCTCTTATAGATAAACTGTTGATGGCACAGTTGATGTGGGCCTGCGATTTTTTCCCACTTTAAATTCCAAAGCGGAAACAGATCTCATATAGGCCTATTTGCCTTCATGCTGATAGAAACGTCTGAGTATTATAACAGAAACAAAAGGGGTTATCGCTACTTAAAAAATGGTGTTCCTATGGTAACAGGGAGGAAAAGAGGCGCCTAACTCCCCCATCCTCCATCATATCCTAACCCCACCCCCATCTGCACCCTCCTCCCGTTCTCTGTAAAGTCTGCTGCAGCAGAGCTGAGGACACCATGCAGCCGGATGGGTTTTCCTAGTCACAGTTGTGGTTGGAATTAAAAGAAATATTTCTGGCAAAACCACCTACTTTAAATATTTAACCCATACAGATGTTTCCAGGATTATTCCAAGTATTGGAAAAGATACCATGAACGAGTAGAAAACTCATTTTGGCTGAGAAGAGTCAGGTTGAACTCATCCAGTTTATTGGTTGATGATTTTCTCTAAAATAATCCCACTGAGAAGGAAATTAAAATTATAAAAAAAATACTATATTTTCACATCTTATCGGCTACATTCCCAAATAGTTTTTTTAATTTATTTTTTATTAATTAAGTAGCCTAGTTTACTAAAATTATTCATTGACCCAGACTACTCCATATATAGGCAATATAGGCCTAGGCTATAGACTATAACCTATCACGCTAGATTCAAATAGGCCTTGTTAATATAAAAGTAGGCTATTTATATATAGGCTACAACTTTTTATTTCTTCTCTTAATGGGCTTTTATAGCACCGTTATTTCTTTCTTTCCTTCAGGTGCCACACAACAAAATCACGCGCCAGAAGCTAAATGAGCACCCAAGGAGACCATGTCTTTGTCTAGAAGCAGGGGCCATGCTTAGGCCCTACAGCCTATATACCTGTGTTTTTAAAATGTGAGAAAGCTCAAAGTACTGACTAACCACTGGGTGTCATTTTTGTCTTCAACCCCCCCCCCCCCCCCCCCCCGACCCCAAGGGCCCAGATCCCGCAAACCAAAGAAGGCGCCGACCCCGAGTAAAGAGGACAAGCGGCCCCGGACGGCCTTCACCGCAGAACAGCTCCACCGGTTAAAAACTGAGTTCCAGAACAACCGATACCTGACCGAGCAGCGGAGGCAGAGCCTGGCCCAGGACCTTGGCCTTAACGAGTCTCAGATCAAAATATGGTTTCAGAACAAACGGGCTAAAATCAAGAAAACCTCCGGCAGTAAAAACTCTCTGGCCTCGCAGCTCATGGCGCAGGGACTGTACAACCACTCCACGGCCAGGGACGCCAAGTCGGACAGCGACTAGAGGAGACAAGGGGGGCAGGAGGGGATTCTGAATCATGCAATAAAACCACTTCAGTACCAGCATTCATATTTAAAACTCAACCAGAGACGATATTGTGACATTTTCTTGTCCTTTGAGTATGTGTGGCGCGTGAGAGTGTGTGAGAGTTTGTCGGCTTCCTGTCCTCAGGGCTGTAGTTATGATGAAGTCGAATCCAAGTCAAAGATGGTGCTGCGTTCACATTACATCCACAAATCGGACATTTTCATGGCGTACACCTGTTACAGCCTAGACAGCAGCGATCTCTGTCCAATTAGCTTACGGACACTGTCAACTGTTACAGAGCAGGCTACATCATGATTTGGTTCTGAAAGTCAAATCTGGTAAGAAGGCCTAGCAAATGACATTTCAGAAAGTTCACGTTTCAAATGGGGGGGGTCAGAGATTGAGAGGAGAGTAGCCGTTTGGATGGTGTTGGTAAAAAGCCCATCATCTGTTAGCTAAAACTCACCAGCCACTCTCAGATGAATTGATTTCAGATACAATTTAGGCCTACCTTTAGAATTAGCTGTAATTAAAATGATGTGACATTAAAATGAATTGAAACGAACATTAGACATCATTGCTTTGGCTGAAGAACGGCCCGCCGTCAGCTAACATTAGGCCTACCTCACAAACCTCAGAGTTGTATTTTCCTGTGAAGAAATAACCGACATTTTAACAGGTAGGCTGATAGGGTAGGGTCAGAGAGGACTCGGGACAAATCCAGGTCAGCTGTTTTCTGCTGTTGGCATGATGAGCTACCTGCCTGCTTAAATGACTTTAGTCTCATTACAGCTCACCTTTATTCATGACTTAAAAATTTATCACCGGAAAAAGGTCAACTACGATGTAGAAGTACAAAAAACAGGATATCTCTGATGTTTTTTAGAGGCGGGAAAAGTGAGTCAACAACATAGGAGCTGAGAAGGCGCCGAGCTCAAGGGAAGAGAAATGCGGCCTGGACAGCCGCAGCGCACTAACGCCCTGTGTCCCGTTAGGCCCAGCCTTGTGTCTGATGGACTTTATTGATTATGAAAACTATATGCTAAAATCCAAAGATTTTTTCTGCTGCATCCTGAGAACTGTGACTTGAGAAACAGCCTTCTCTGTGTTGTCTGTGTTTTGTACTTTCTGACTCTTCTTGTGTCCTTGTGTGTTCTGTCGCGTGCTGCAGTGTTTACCTGCAGCTCAGTAGCAAACAGCCTTTTAAGATTTTGGGAATGTAACAACACATTTTTTTATCTGGAATTAAAGGTCTGCTTTATAGAAGCTGTCGGGTGAACAGTGTTTAATAACAAAACTGGTCTTCATAAAGGAAGTGGCAACTAAACACATCCCCATTCTGAATTTAATGTCTGCTTTTAGATAGTAGGCCTACTAAAATATTCGTTTATATTTTTAAATTCTATTAATGCATAGGGCAATATTTTAATATTATAACATATTTTAAAATATGCCCATTTAAATTACCAACACATTTGATTTTTTCAAAAACCCCTTTAGCCTAAATCCCTTTAAATAATTTATAATGATAGTCAGACCGTCACCTACGGCCGTCCGCACCGCACTACCGGCCCGAACCACGGACCTCGAGTATAGGCTATGAATGTGTAAGAGAGTTTTACCTGTTGTTAAGAAAGCCCATTCTGTTCTTATTTATAATACAAGGAACACAGCACTTATTTTTCTGTTGGAACGCCTCATGTGACAGGCCTTTGCTGGGTCGAATTCATGTGGATCCAAACCAAATCGTGGTCTTACCGATGCTCTGAATGTTTTCTTATTTTCTTAGCCATGTTGTAGATATTCCGTTTTTCTTGCAATTAATTAATCATTACAAACCTGGACAAGCCTCTGCCTTGAAAGGAATGTAAATACAACCTAAATATTTACAGTGTTATAAGGAAAGAGCAGAGTGTTCTCTTCTATGATAAGGTTCATGGCATCAGGATTTAAAAAAATAGGGTTAACCCATTTTTTATGATCTTACATGTAAATAATTTATATAATAGTGTGAAAAACAGCAATGCAAAGTAGATTTTTCAGGAGATTATTTTATTATGACCTGAAACACATCAGGAAAAAAAAATTCTAGGCTACAAACAAATATGAAATATTTAAATATCTTGATATTGATTAGCATAACAATGAGAGAGAGAGCTTAGGACAGCAGACACAACATGGAGGACATCAATACTCCATCCTCAACACTAGAGCTGTTGTTTTGTTAAAAGAAAAAGTCATATTGCACTGGTTCTCAAAACCACATAGATTTTACATGAACTTACCATTGACATTTGATTACATTAAAAAGGCCATTCACCTGCATGACACAAACATGACAATGATGCACACAAAGAACATTAAAGCCACACACTTAATAAACCTTTCTTGCAAAGTGTGCATTAAATATACCCCTTTTGTATACTGTTTAACGGCATGTCATTTACAGTATACAGCTGCACCACATGTACAACCGGCTACCTTATTTTTTTCTTTGAACAAAATCACTGCAATGACAACTTTGCTGTTCAATGAAAACATACATCTTGTTTGGTCATTACACATCTACATGCTGCTCTATGAGATCAGAACATTTCTAGGTTCATAAAAGCCTCGGAAAACCCACTATACTGTGTCAAAAGTATATTTCTTTAAACAAGTCGTTTTTCTAAGCTCCTTAAACCTTGATATGTTGGAGACACAAGCTTTTCAGTGGGGCCACGTTCAAGAATAGTTTGAGAAACTGTAATTTAGGTTGTACACAGGCTATAGTGTCAAAGTGAACGAACAGGTGCATACAAGCAAACATTCATTTATACATTCCATAGGTCACAGATCATACCACTGACACCATGCAGGAAAACTGTTTGAGCAGCTGAGCTGAGCAGGATTACAGATTCACTGTGCTTATAGGGGGAAAGGATCAATAGAAGCTGATAACTGTGACCCAAAATAGTTAGATATGGATCCACCTGTTTTTAGTGGTAATCAGCATTTCCCCATAAATACTGAGTTAGGTGACCACTAACATGGTATCTGCAGTGGCTCTGGAGTCAATATCCACATCTTTTCTTTTTCAGCGACTTTCCAAAACCACCCTAGAGTACTGAAAACCATCATGCCTTGCTGCTCAAGCTGGGCTCAACACCATTCTGATGAAATGAAAGTGTCATACAAAAAAAACAAAAAACAATGTGTTTTGTGAAGTAATTCAAGATATTCAAGAAAATGTTTATGGTGTGCGTCTTGTACAAATGACAAAAGGATTGGCACAATCCTGATAGTTCTCAGCACTTGGGTGACTGGATAAAGTAGTTAAAAGGACTGATTAGTATATTCACTTCATAGTGGAAAAGTCTGCAAGAATATAGACACAGAAGTGCAGGTTAAAACATACACAACTTCGTTCTCATTCTGTGTTTACCTGAACGTCTGACTGAGGTGGAAAAACAGGCGAGAAAAATGAAACAGAGAGAGGGAGAAAGAAATATGGCGAGCAGAGGGAAATCCATCAACAAAAAGCCAGAGACACATCCATTGGCAGCAGCAGCAGCAGCATTGACCTGGGCTCTGTGAATGGCAGCAGGAGCCCTCATCTGCATTTCCATTCTTAGCTCACTTGTATGTGGAAGTTACGCCCAACGGTCTCTGACTTGATGAGCTGAGCGAGCTGGGTTTCTATGCACAGTGTGGGGTTGTCAGTCGAAAGGGTTGGTGGGGTGGGGGTGGGGGGTATAATGGCCAGAGAACCTGGATGAAGGTCAAAATGCTTTGGGTGTCCATGCAAAAAGCAGCAGGTGAGAACACTACAGCCAATAAATGATGAGAAATGGACATCTTTTTCCTCTCTGGTTCTCACTGTGGAGATCACGATATTTTCCAAATTCCCAGTAATGAATGAAGGGACATGGCTCTGATGTTAGAGTTTCTATCAGTTATATTCAGTTTAAATGAAAAGACCTTCTATCAATCCCAAATGTATTCTAATGGTGGACACAACAATTTTCATATTCAAACCATTTGGACTAAATGCATTCTTCTGTCCCCTGGTTGCCAATGTCACACCTAGTATGTTCAGGTAAGTAAAGGTTTATAGTAAGAAAGAAAAGGGCTGGTTCTCCTGGATAAAGTTTGGATGTGCTACATCCCCATCCACCACCTCAACCTCCACACGCTGAAGGGTTAGATATACTCGAAAACAGATGCACATCTGTTTGTATTACACACATCCCACTGCCTCCCCTACTTCTCCCTGATAATCCTGAGTTTGTTTGTAGTCTCAACGTGATGATGGTTCAAATGGGAATAATGGTGCACACGTCCTCCTAAAAGGCATTCATAATGTTCTCAGTTGTTCACATGAAAACCCTGCCTACTTTCACACATGGCCAATGCGTGAAGTGGGCCTGCCTGTTAGATTGTCATTATGGGAAAGTAACAAAAAATGTCTAACACAGCTTCCCCACTTTGAAAATCAGGAAGGTACGGTGGGAGGGAGCTTTAGACACAGGTAAAAGATCTGACACTCTGCCTCACTACATAAAGGGCATATCACATAGTTTCCACTGAACGTACTGCACTGGATGTAAAACCACACCAGCAGGATTCTGGGATGTGCTTTTCATTTTGGTTTCCACTCTAGAGGGTTGAAAACGTTCACATTATTACTTTAGATCATTTTAAAGGTTCTCAAATAAATCAAATCGTTCTCATATCAAAAGACTTGTTTTAAGCTGTGTGCACAGTTGAAAAGGTGTTCCACTAGCACTGGGTCACAACAAGCCAAAAATCTGCTTAAAGACTGCTCACCTACAGGAGCTAACCACAGAAGCAATTTGCATGCATTTGTCAAATTTGCATTTCTCAAAAGAGAGTGGTAACAGTAAAACCAAGAACACAAGACAAATGTTGCTAAATCTGTCCATGGCAACATTTCAGCAACAGGTCCTGTCGTTTTCCGGCTAAAAGCAGAGTTCATCCATCCCCTTGTCATAATATTAACCTCTCCAACAGGCAGAGGCAAAGGGCAAACGAGCAGAGAAAAGAAAAGTACATA